TGAAAATTTCTTCGTCTTCACGTTAGAATTCTGATACTCATTAAATATTAAGTTCACATGAATATGTAACACCATGATTTTTTTCATGCTTTTCTGACAATCTGATCCTAAAATATCTAAATTGATATTCAAAACTATAGTCTCCCCTAGTGGGCGGGTCAAAACTATGAAAAAGAAATAATTTTTTTCTTCTTCAGTATACAAGTTAGAAGTCTGATACTCACCAAATATGAAGTTCATATGAATATGTAACACCATGATTTTTTTCATGGTTTTCTGACAAACTGATCCTAAAATATTTAAATAGATATGTGATAACATGCCTGTTTTGTGGCCTATTTTGTTGTACTTTGGGGTCAAATGACCAATTACTGGTCTCAAAAATGATCAAAACGATATTTTAATTATTTGTGAATATGTGATCTATCGTAATAAAGCTTGAATACTTGACTAAAGTATTCCATTTGGGAACAAAAAATTGTTTCCTACCAATACTCAATTTTGGGTTAGGGTTGTAGGGGGTACCTAGGAAATGAAAATTCACATTTGTCCACTGCATACATTTTTCTATATTTTTGATATGTTTTTCAACTATTATCAATACATAATATAAGACTAATTTAAAAACTGTTGCAATTTTTGGGATGTTTGGGCCTTTTATGAGCCCATTTGCTTGGCCTATAGTGTATTTTAGGTATTTTTGTGAAAATCAATAGAATACAATGGTCTCCATCGGAATCTGATGGTATCCACATGTTAAGTCAATAGAGATTTTACATTTTGGCATGCCAACCTAAGGCCCTTACCATGGCATGGGTGCAATAAGGTCCTATCACTTTTGGAAGAGTTTATTTTCATTCAAAAGGTAGTATAGGAGTTGATACATTTTATAAGCACAACATTTGAATACACACTCAGTGGAGTCAGTTACTTGAATAAAACCTAGAAATTGCAAATCTATATAGTAATGTATAAGTATAGTATATAATTTATCAATTGTGCAAAAGACCCCATGCAGAACAGTTCTAGTGATAAAGACAATCTTCCCATTACAAATCCAAGGCTTTACCAAAATGCCCCAAAAAATCACTATTGATTTTTCTATTATTGCAGACATTTATGGTTAGTTTATTGACTAAATTTCACAAACAGGCACAATTCTAAAAAATCTTACTTGTAAATACAAATTAAGGTGCTATGAAAGTTAACAGGAACAAAAAATGTCAAAACCATGCTGGATTTTGAAAATTTTTTGAATCAAGATAACAGAGTTCTGTTTGGACCTCCACTCAGTTTAATTAGTTCCACATATCATTTACATGACTGGGAACACAAGGAAAATGGCGAGAATGACCATAAACATGATGAAATAACCTTTTCAGCCCTCTGAAAATGTGACTGAAAAATAGCGTAGAGTAGGTGCCCAGGAAAGGTCACTGAAGAGAATCTTTTGACTTTTTCAGAAAATGTGCCCAATATATTACTCTAAATGATACAATTTTTAAAAAATCATATCATTCTCAGAAAAAGAAAAAATGGAAAAAACTGAATTTAAAATCGATCTATTTTCCTTTTAACTACAGCCGAATTACTGTTTCAGACAATTTTTTAAAATTCAGTCACATTTTCAGAGGGCTGAAAAGGTTATTTCATCATGTTTATGGTCATTCTGATCATTTTCCTTGTGTTACCGGTCATGTAAATATGTTGAACTAGTTAAACTGACTGGAGGTCCAACAGAACTCTGTTATCTTGGTTCAAAAAAATTTCAGAATCCAGCATGGTTTTGACATTTTTTGTTTTGTCATTTCTGTTAACTTACATATAGCACCTTAAATTACAAATTAAAATGTGTTGCATGAAACACATTGATGAATTTGTTCATACAAACTGGAGAAAGTATATAATTGGGATCTCCACTTTCAATGAACACATTTTTTGTACTTTCTCCTGCATGTATGAATAAATATTTTGTGTCAATTCTCCAACATGCATAAGCAAATGATTTGTACTTTCTCTATTGTGCATGAACCAAAACGTTGTTCATTCTAACGTTGTTAATTAATCAATGTGTCAGAACGAATAAAATGTACCTAAACCAGTGAGTATGAACGAATTTAATGTACTACAATATCTATAATGTGTATGAAGAGACATTACGCTCTTTCTCCAGTATGGACATGTATATGAACCAACACGCCTGTGTATATACTTTCTCCAGTATGTATGAACAAATATCATGTACTCCATTGTTTATGAACACACATTTTGTATGAACAAATACTATGTACTTTCTCCAGTGTGTATGAACGTACAGAGTATTGGTTAAATAACTAGTGAAAGTACATAATATTTGCTCATATACACTGGAGAAAGTACATGATATTTGTCAATACACACAGTTAAAATTTATTGTTTCATATATACACTGGAAAAATATAATTAGTAGTCCATACACACATACACAGAAAGTAAATAAAACAATAAAATATTGGTTTAGGCACATGGCACCTAGTTTCGATTCATACATACTGGAGAAAGTATACACAGAGGAGTGTGACTCAGAAAATGTGACTCAAAAACAGTGAAAAGTTGGACTTTTACAAAGGTCACCAGACAGAATCTATTGCATTTTTGAGAAAGTGTGCCAAATATATTATTTGAAATTATAGAAGCTTTTGAAAATTTGAATTCATTCCTAAAAATAGAAAAAATGAGAAACTGCTTTAGAAGGCAGTCCATTCTCTTTTTATGATCACAATTTTTGTTTCAGACAACTTTTCAAAATTTCAAAGCTCCTATGACATGTATGATTTAGAGTAATATATTGGGCACATTTTCTGAGAAGTCTTTCACATGATGTTTAGGGCCATTCATTCATACAAACTAGAGAGAGTATGAGAATATTGATTATTCCAATCTGAGTAATATGATAGATAGTTGGTTCTTCAACTAGAGAGGTTTACTTAGATTTTGAATATCAAATAGATTTGGATCAAGTGTTATAAAGAATCTGATCTTCTTAACTTAACTTTGAGCATGCAGATAAACATTCAATGGATTTACATAAAATGCAGAGTTCCTGTGACAATGGCATTTATTTTTAATGATCAAGAAAGTACTTTGTACCCTCCCGCAAAATTAGGAAGAAGCCAGAGCTTTCATTCTGGTACACATCGCATCTAGAAACATGTCTGTGTCTATCATGTAAGAAGAGAGGGTCAAGGTATTCCATGATGGAGCATTTTGGAAACCCTTCTTAGAAATTGCTATGCTGAAAATGGGCTATTGGCATACACTATGTACAAGTAATGCAGATTGCTCCGATTTTCACTACAGCGCCATGCCGATTGAGTATTTTGTTCAAAATTGAATACAATATTGAACAAACGGAGCAAATGTGACCCAGGCATCAGTGTAGTATGAATTTATTTTGTTAGGATGCCAGTCAGAGCTCTTGATGCAAGTACCAAGTTTGCAAACATGCATGTCAACCATGGCCAATTAGAAAAGTGCACCCCTTCTATATGATAGTATAAACCCTTCCTACACCTTGGTTTAGCTTTGGATCACTATGCTATCATTATGTGGCAGAAATGCATTCTGATTGGATATAAATGATCACATGACTTAGTTCACCAAGGTATCAGGAGATGGCATGCCAAAATGTAAAATCTCTACTAAGGTTACCTCTATACCCTCTATAGCCGCGTAGCTGCTCCTTAGGTTACCTCTATTCACTCTGTAGTAGCCTACCCAGTGTAGCTAGCGTTGCCACTGAATGCATGCTCCTAGGCTGTACATTCCGACCCTGTAATGTCAGCGTAGTCAGTCTAGATAGCGTACGTAGCCTCCGAATCCCTACTCCTAGGCTAATCTCCAGAACCTATGTAGCCGCGTAGCGAGTGTAGCTAGACCCTATTAATGTTCAACCATTTTGCAGAACAATTGACTTTAATCAGGACAATGACATCACGAAGAAATCCTGTATTTTGATTGGTTAGATTTCTACCTACAACCAATGACATCACTAAAATTTCATAGTTTCTCTGGCCTCTCAAAAGGTGGCAGGCTTTACTGAATAATACCGTCCCTGGACAGTCTAAATCGATTGATGGAACTCATTTTATTTTGTCTTATTCAAGTACGTCAAGTAATCTTTTGTACTTAGGTCAGTCAAAAAGTTCTGTTTATTTATCTCTAACTTTGTCATTTTGAGGAATTATTTCTTGATATTTGGTACGTCTATAGAACATACATTTGTGCTAATATTGACTAAACATTGTATCTCAACCATCATTGGTTACTGAATAATGGTTGCTATGGTAATAGAAGGGCGATGTACTCGGTTCAACCCAATTTTATTGATTTTCATACACTGTTATATTACATGAAATATACTTTAAACTGTCTCAATATTTAAAAACTCCTTTCTAACTAAGTCCCCGATGTCATATCTAAGTTTAATTTCGTAATTTAGCCTTCAAAATAGTCGCCTCCTGCAGCAATGACCTTTCTGTGCCTTTCTACCCAGTCTCTGAAGACACCTTTGAAACCACCAGCCGACAATTCATTTAAACGTTTGCGCACGGCTGCCCGCAGAGCCTCATCGGAATCAAACCGGATCCCCCGAAGACCCCTCATTAGATTGCTGAAGAGGTAAAAGTCACATGGAGATGTGTCTGGGGAGTATGGTGCTTGTGGAATCCTGCTCCATTGGAGGTCTTCTAAGGCAGTCTTGGCAACATTACTTGTATGGGGACGAGCATTGTCCATATTCGTCTAGAAACTGCCTCGAGACATCAATTCTTTCTTGCTTCTGTTCCTGAGTGGGGAATCTTGGAACCCATTTTGAGGCTACGTAACGCTTTCTCAATACTTGAGTGATGATCGTATGACATGAGCCATAAGAAATATTCAGAATGGAACTAATCTCATCCAGTGAAATGTGCCTATCTTGCTCAATCAACTCTTGTATTTTCTCAGCATTGTCCTCATTCACAGAACTCTTGGGCCGGCCAGTCCGTGCTGAATCAGACAGTTTATCCCTTTTTCCAGACAAGAAGTCATTGTACCATCTACGGACAGTATTATATCTTGGAGCATACTGTCCAAAATCACCTTTAACAAGTGAATATGTCTCTTGTAGTGTTTTCCTGTTTTCTACCATACACTGTATCAAGTTTCTTTGCTTCCACTTTAACAACTTGCTAGGAGAATCAATATTTGACATGATTTTTTCTCAAAATCCCCTTTTCACTTTTTCATCTTTTCATCCTGAAAATCATCTTTGTCAGCTGAAAATTGTCACAATTAATATTTCCTTGACTGTGATGTCTTCAAGACAATAGAATTGGCATCAAAACCTGTCAATTTGCACAATCTGATATTTTAACATGAAAAATTAACTGTTCAATGAATTGATGCCAAATGAAATTAATGTGACATTAAAAATATGACGTTTTTTAGCTGAACCGTGTACCCCGCAATTCTGTTACCATAGCAACCATAATTCAATAACCAATCATAGTTGAGATACAATATTTAGTCAGTAGTTGCACAAATATATGTTCTATAGATGTACCAAATATCAAGAAGTAAATCCTCAAAATGACAAAGTTAGAGATAAATAAACAGAACTTTTTGACTGACCCAAGTAATATGGGATGAATAACGTCTGATCAACTAACTTAATCGCCAAGTTTCTGGTGACAATACACAATGTAAAATTCTTCTGATGGATGATTGTCCAACACATGATTTGCAAAGCGTTCAGCAGTTCAGTAGAGAATTTTCGTTATAAGTTGTTTCAAAAACTTATACGTATACTTATAGTTTAAAGGGTCTTGTCGAACTAAAATCAATTCAAATTGATTTTCATAATCTGTACCAAGTGGGGCATAACTATTCCGATATAGTCAAGCTCCATCATCAACTAGGGACTGCGAATACAATGTCCTTTGCTAGTGTCAATTATGAACACGATAAACTTAACGCTAGTTGACGGGTCCTTGTAGTGTACGATAAACAAGACCCTTTAAAGTGAATCACTACACGAACGAGTCGATCATTTCAAAGTTCTCATGAAATTATAACACACTACCCTACCTCGATCGCGCATGCGCGAATCTTTTGGCTTTCAACCACGTCGCTTTTGAGTATTTCGACTGCTAAGTCAAAAGGTTAATACGTTTGGTGCTCAGAGTGAGTCAATATTGCTATTCGCTACACTTCAGTGGTGCAATAGTGAAGTCCATGTTCCAAGTTATATGATAGTTGAAGAAATAATGTAAATAATATCGTTTTAAATTTTAAAATATTTGATATGTCATAGTACACGGTACACAGCTGCAAAAGTTGATCAATACAGGGTACAAGGAATGTAAATTGTTCAATAGTACAGGGAGCGAGAAAGTAAGCTGATTATACAGACATACTATGTCCCGACCTCATGTACATTTACGTTGCAAACAGTGAAAGTAATGCTAAAAAGGCCGCCTGTTGATGCTTTGAGGTGTCATCAATTGTTATTTAATCCAAATAAAGTAAACATTATTTTGTAGATTTAGACACGGGCTTTCAAGTCGTATGCATTTTAGTCATTAAATTAACAAGAACGCTAGATTATACGTGTTACTAGGGTATCAAATTGAAATAAAATAACGAAATTAAATATCAACACGTTAATGATAAATGACTATCCGCTATCAGTATTAATGACTATTTGCTACTCAGAATAATTAAAATTGCCTGAACTACATATGAAGAATCTTTCTATAGAACCCCTTGAATGGTCTAATTCACTACCGTCCTAAAAACCCGACCATTCAAAATGTTTTGTTCAAATTCACAAAAATACAGTTGACTAACATACTAGAAAACGTATCCACCTATAACACGATGACACGCAGTTTAAACAACAGTTAACTGGGTTTTTTGTTACATATCAATGTAACATTTTCGAAGGGACACCTACATGCTCCCTGTACGTTGATAGATTTACTGAAATGTATCGTGTATTGCATTTGGTTTTGCTTCACTGCGCCCACTATTATCTATCTTTGCCTATAGTGGTTTTTTGCCAACAATATTCTACACACTCCTTGATGAATCAATTCTATGTCTGGTAGAACACTAGAAATATATGTAAAATGTATTTTACGTTCAGAAATATGGAATTAAACCGACGTCCTCCATTTGCAACTAAGCTGTACCCTGTTTCCCTTTTAAACGTGGTCACGTGGTAGGGTAGTGTGTATAAGGTCAATTTTTAAGTTTTTACGTATAAAAGGGCCTTTATACGCAGATTATAAACTTACAGAGTTGGATCTCCGCATAGTACAGTATATGTGTGGACCTACTGACCAGAATGGCTTATTAAAATTAATCGGCTGAATAAACATAGTATCCAATCAAACAGCTCGACTCATTCATTAGCTGAACTAATTCTCCCTTCGTTATTTCTACAAGGTGATTCAAAACGATCATCTACAAAAAATATATTTGAGAGTAGATAAATCTGTAAAACCCGTGTGCTATATCAGCCTATTTGATTCTAGAAAACACATATGACACAACTAAACATGCTTTACATCAAGGGGGTACGGATGGTATGCCATTGGCCCTTTTTATTACCGTCCTAGGAGATATTTCCCGACGAATTAGGAAATTATGAAACAACTTGTTTATTGGGTTTATAAGTATAATTAAGTATACGTATAAGTTTTAAAAAAACTTATAACGAAAATTCTCTAGTGTTGGAAATTCAACCAATGGATGGCAGTGATAACAGGCAAACATCACAATTCTAGGTTGATTTTGGTTTAATCCAAAATTAAACAATATAGCATTTGGAATAAAAACAATAACATAGCATGCCCCTCTCTTTGGATTTGGAAACCAGAGTTTCTAAATTACTATTACTATGCCACAACAGATTGGAAAGAAGCAGATATATTTTTAAAAAATACGAAAACACGAGGACTTCTTTCCAAGTAGTGTATTTTAAAATCTGTACAGACACCATCATGCAGAATTTTAGAGTTGTTCAGACAACATCATTTTTCTTATTTGAAATAAAGAACAGCGTGCCTCTCAAAAATATGCATTCTCTGCTTGTAAAGGAGCACGTAGGTTATCGCAAACAATTTCAGAAGGTTATATTGTAATGACCCGAGGGCGCCCCAGGGGAATAACTAATTAACTAACAACTAACGAGCATAGTGTAACAAGCCAGATAAAGAAATTGAAAGAAAGTGTGCTAAATTCAATGCCCCGTGTGGAAATCGAACCTAGGACCCTTGGTTCCGAAGTCTGATGCTCTACCGACTGAGCTATAAAGGCTTAAGCCACTACAGCTGGACTGTAGTAGCAACTTGCTATCAAGGGTCGTTACACTATCTCCCCCTTTGAAAGGACCACGCCCTCGTGGTCAGCCCTGCTTCCCTAGCAGTGACTACCATATACACAAGGGCGCAAAGGATACAACCAATGCTCTGATCCCACATCTGACACCAATGTAATGACCCGAGGGCGCCCCAGGGGAATAACTAATTTACTAACAACTAACGAGCATAGTGTAACAAGCCAGATAAAGAAATTGAAAGAAAGTGTGCTAAATTCAATGCCCCGTGTGGAAATCGAACCTAGGACCCTTGGTTCCGAAGTCTGATGCTCTACCGACTGACCTATAAAGGCTTAAAGCCACTACAGCTGGACTGTAGTAGCAACTTGCTATCAAGGGTCGTTACAATATCTTGAATTATGCCTATTTTCTAACAATGAAGACAGGGTTATCTTTTATATCAATTCATTATCTCAAAGAAAATTATATACAGTAATAATAAAGTCAAACAAACTCAGAGATGTTTAATTAGCAATCAACCCGTCAACACACTTTTCAAAGATGTTGACCCCTTTTTCACCAAAAATGCAATCATTTTTTACAATGTTTAATGCATTACTATTCTTTATTTTGTAGTATCAAATAGTTCTTGAAAGAAAAACTTAATTGCTTTAAGATAAGTGTTCCCCATGTTATTCCTCCATTGAAAAATCTCATCCTATCCATTGGTTTCAGTTCATTTTGGTCATCCAAATTCAGTATCTTTAAAGTCCCTGGAGCAATCAACTTTTTCCTTTTAGGAAATCGAACATGTCTCAAAGCACATTCTAATATGCATTCAACAATATAATAAAAGGTTGCATTTTTGAAAAAGTATGTTGATTGGTCCATTGCCCCTTCAATATCACTTAGGTCTGATTAAATAAATTATCATTATATATACTTTTCTTGAAGATATTGAATGGATCTAAAAGATAAACCCATGTTCATGATCAGAAAATATTCATAATTCAAGTTAGAATTAAGCTACGGTACACGTCTGAAACCATGTCAGTGGACCTTTTCAGCCCTCTGAAAATGTGACTGAAAAATAACTAAAAGTAGGTGCTCAGGAAAGGTCAATGAACAGAATCTCTTGATTTTTTCAGAAAATGTGTCTAATATATTGCTCTAAATGATACAATCTTTGAAATTTTAAAAAATTGTCTGAAACAATAATTCGGCTGTAGTTAAAAGGAAAATAGATCGATTTTAAATTCAGTTTTTTCCATTTTTTTCTTTTTCTGAGAATGATATGATTTTTTAAAATTGTATCATTTAGAGTAATATATTGGGCACATTTTCTGAAAAAGTCAAAAGATTCTCTTCAGTGACCTTTCCTGGGCACCTACTTTCACCTGTCATTTTCATTCTCACCATTTTCCTTGTGTTCCCAGTCATGTAAATGATATGTGGAACTAATTAAACTGAGTGGAGGTCCAAACAGAACTCTGTTATCTTGATTCAAAAAAAATTCAAAATCCAGCATGGTTTTGACATTTTTTGTTTTGTCATTTCCTGTTAACTTTCATAGCACCTTAATTTGTATTTCCAATTAAGATTTTTCAGAATTGTGCCTGTTTGTGAAATTTAGTCAATAAACTAACCATAAATGTCTGCAATAATAGAAAAAGCAATAGTGATTTTTTGGGCATTTTGGTAAAGCCTTTGGTTTATAATGGGAAGATTGTCTTTATCCCTAGAACTGTTCTGCATGGGGTCTTTTGCACAATTGATAAATTATATACTATACTTATACATTACTATATAGATTTGCAATGTCTAGGTTTTATTCAAGTAACTGACTCCACTGAGTGTGTATTCAAATGTTGTGCTTATAAAATGTATCAACTCCTATACTACCTTTTGAATGAAAATAAACTCTTCCAAAAGTGATAGGACCTTAGTGCCCCCATACCATGGTAAGGGCCTTAGGTTGGCATGCCAAAATGTAAAATCTCTAGTAGAATTTATGCGTTAGCTACACTGGCTACG